ACGGATGGAAACTCATCCAGGAGAGAAGCAACCTTAGAACTAAGGAGGAATTTCCTAACAGGGAGGACAATTAACCAGTGGAACAGCCTGCCACCAGAAGCTGTGGGTGCCCCATCACTGGAGGTTTTTTAAGAGACGGGACAACCATTTATCTCAAATTGTATAGGCTCTTCTGCTTAAGCAGGGAATTGGATTAGAGGACCTCCGTCCCTTTCAACTCTCTTATTCTGTTTGTGACCGGAACTGCAGAGGCAGTCTAATATCCCAGAAAAGTATCTCAAACAAGAGACGTTCAACTTAAGATTGGGGAATCTTAAAAAGTGGTGGGTTTTTCAGGCATCACCAACGGAAAGAACATTTTACGCATAAAAATGAACGGATTCCCACCATGGATTACTGGCTGCGAATGCGGATGGAGCTAGCAGAGAGGGCTAAATTGACTGCTTTGTTTCTAAGAAAAGAATACAATTAAGTTTCATTTCTACTTGGAAACCGCTTCTGGGCTTTGTGCTTGAGCTGAGGGGGAAAAAAACAACCCCGATTTTGGGTTTTGCTGATTAAATAGTCTTGTTGTTATAGAAATGGCTAGTATCTATTATTATGCAAAAGTAAAGAGACGAGCTTGTATGTTATTTCCTTATTCTGCTGCAACTCAAAACAATTGGAAGTCGATGCTTTTCTTCTTTTTTTTATTCTCTTTTCACCCTACATTTTTCCTCTCCTCCTTCCCTATTTTCCCATTGTTCTTGTTTCTCTTTGTATTTTCGTACTGTGTTTCCCCGAAACACAGATCCCGTCTTGTGATTATTATTATTTTTTGGCCACCAAAAGAGGCACCAGGTCTTATTTTTGGGGGACGGCATCCACTGACTAACCTCACTTGCGTGCATCGCCCCCTGGCCTCCTTTTCACTGTCAGAGGCCTTCAGGAGCTTCTTCTTCTGCGGCCGGCAAGGCTTTCCTGAAGGCCTCTGCAGAGGATAACAAGAGCTCTGGATCGATCCTGAGCTTTGTTCTCAGCTCCAGAGGCCTTCAGGAAAGCCTTGCCAGCCTTGCCGGATGCAGAAGAAATGGACCCGCAAGGCAGGTGTCGGGGTGGGTGAGGCCTGGTTACACCTGTCCAAAGGTAAGTAATAGGGCAGCTCCACACACACCCAAATCCCCACCCTAGCTTAATTTTTACCCGTCCACTTTGGAGTGGGCATGATCTTCATTAGGGCTTATTTTGGGGGTGGTAGGGCTTAATTGGGCACACATGTAAAAAATCAAGCTAGGACTTACTTTCAGGGTAGGTCATATTTTCGGGGAAACTGGGTATTTTACGTTTCGACAAACTAATACAAAACTTTTAAGTAGAAAGTTTCTTCGCGAACCACAAAGCCGCTCTCGGCTCCCTTTTCCCCATAATACGACCAACTTTCCACCCCAAGGCCAGGTACACCGCCGCTTACTTGTTGCTCAGCACAGCCGAGTGTCCGAAACGGTTGATGTCGTGGGGGAGATCAGGTGGAGGAAGCACCACCCAACGATCACAAGCTAGGATGCAAACAAACAAACAAACAAAAAGAAAGCTTGTTTCAAAAGCATTCAGGGGGCGCTTCGGCCACAGTAAAACTTTGTTTATTCCCACAGAAAAGTCCGCGACAATTCAGAAATCGGAGCCGTTCTTCCAAGGGGCACGGAACTGTGGCAGGACTTACTCAGCAAGTATAAATAGCAGCGAAGGAGAATACTGGTAGCTCGGAATGGAAATGAGGGGTCCTTGGTGCCAGTGGTGGGATTCAAATTTTTTTACTACCGGCTCTGTGGGCGTGGCTTGGTGGGCGTGGCTTGGGCATAGCAGGGGAAGGTGACTGTAAAATCCCCCTTCCCTCCCCACCCCACTGACCTGCTTTCCAGCTCCGTTCTCCTGTGCAGGGCAACCAAAGGAGACCCAGCCGATCAGCTGGGACTCGATGGGAGGCAGAGAAGAGATGGGGGTTGGCGGGTCCAGTCAGAGGTGGTTCTCCACCTCTACCGGTTCTCCAGAGCCGGTCCGAACCGGCTGAAACCAACCTCTGCTTGGTGCTCTCTGAGCTTGGTAGTTTTCTTGCAGATGTTTCATGACCCAACTTCACTGTTGTAGCAACAGTAACATATCAAGAGGAGGACTGTGGGGTCCGTGGTGCCCTCTGAGCTTGGTGACAGACATTTCATGACCCAACTAAGGAATAACATCGGGGCTGGAAAGGAGTGGGGTTTGCACAGAGGAGGAGGAGGAGGAGGAGGAGGAGGAGGAGGAGGAGGAGGAGGAGAGTAGTCATGGTGCTCTCTGAGCTTGCTTTCCTTGTAGACCTTTCATGACCAACTAGGTAACATTATCAGTGCTAGGAGTGAAGTTTGCAGGAGGAGGAGGAGGAGGAGGAGGAGGATGGTGTCCTTGATGCTTAATAAATTTAATAAATTGAAATAAATAAGGTTTCATAAATTACAGGTGCCTGACTTACGACCGCGGTTGAGCCCAACGTTTCTGCTGCGAAGCAAGACATTTGGTTAAGTGAGTTTTGCTTTATTTTGCTGCAATTCCCTGCAGTCATTAAATTAGTCACACGGTTGTTAAGTGAATCCGTCTTCCCCGTTGACTTTGCTTGTCAAAAGGTAGCAAAAGGGGATCATGAGACCCCGGAACACTGAAACCGTCGTAAGTGCGAGTCAGTTGTTGGGGCATCTGAACGTAAATCACATGACCCTGGGGAATACTGCAACCGTCGTGAAAGACGGTCCCATAAGTCCCTTTTTCCAGTGCCGTTGTAACTTCGGTCATTAAACGAACTGCCCGTATATGGAGACATCCGAGGCCAAGCAAAGAAATCGATCCACTGTCGTTTCGTTCCTCGCCACATAAGCGCATCGAACCGATGGCCGAGATCTGGCTGGGCTCTTACCATTAAGGGCCTGGTTTCGTCTGGGGGGAAGGAGCACGTGCAACTTTTTTTTTTCCCAGAGCATCCTGCACATTTAAAGGAAAAATCCTTCACTCTGAAGTCAACGCATAGATTTTTCTAGCTAAGGGGAACTACACGGAATCAATATTCCCCCTCCCCGTCTCTGTCTCTCTCTCTCTCTCTCCACTCTCCTCTCTCTACTCTCTCTCCACTCCTTCCCCTGCACTCTCCTCTCCCCTCCTCTCCTTACTCTCTTCACTCTCTCCTTTTCCCCCCTCTACTCTCTCCACTCTCTTCTCTCTCCTCTCTTTCCTCTCTCCTTTCCCTCTCCTCTACTCTCTACTCTCTCTACTCTCTCCTCTCTCTCCACTCTCTCTCCTTACTCTCTTCACTCTCTCCTTTTCCCCCCTCTACTCTCTCCTCTCTCCATTCTCTCCTCTCTCTCCCCTCCCTCTCCTTACTCTCTCCTTTGCCCTCCCTCTCTCTACTCTCTTCACTCTCTCCTTTCCCCCTCTCCTCTCTCCATTCTCTCCTCTCCCCCCTCCCCTCCCTCTTACTCTCTCCTTTGCCCCCCTCTCTCCACTCTCTCCCCACTCTCTCCCCTCTCTCTTACTCTGTCCACTCTGTCCTTTCTCACCCCTCTCTCTACTCTCTACACTCTCTCCACTCTCTCCTTACTCTCTTCACTCTCTCCCTTCCCCCCTCTACTCTCTACTCTTTCCTCTCTCCCCTCTCTCTCTCTCCCCTCTCTCCACTCTCTCCTCTCCCCCCTCTCTCTCCTTACTCTGTCCCCCCTCTCCCTCTTCCCCCTCTTATCTACTCTGTACTCTCTCCCCTCTCTCATTTTATTCTTGCAGGCAATCAAAAGGAGGAAGGAAGGAGAAAAGCCCAAGGCTACGAAACGTACCAAGAATTATTTCCTTCCTGACCTTTCGGGCCCAGCTGAGTTAAGATTTATTGTTCCGGGATCCGCGGGAATTTATAACTGTCTGCCCAGTTGATGAAACGGAGTTTGGCTTTCTGTTTTCAAGGAAACGGTCCCCGGGATTTGAGCACAGTTCACATTAGAAGGTTATATACAGTCATCGTAGCCATGATGGCTAAAGGCCTTTCGCACTTCTGGGGGTGTTTTCAGAGGCTTAAATAGACTGGCAGGGCGAGGAGGGGGTGTGACACAGAAGGATCTCGCAGAAAAGGATAAATGCTTATTTCTGGCTTGTGACATGGGTGGTGGTGGGGGGAAATAATCACTCAAGATGTTAGGGAGGTAATATCCTTAGTTTAAACCATGTTTATCCAGCCCTTGGGCTCACCTGAGCTACACCGAGTGAAGAGGAATTGCCTTGGGCCGCATATATAAAATATATAATAAAGTCAAGGTGTGTAAATTACAAGGGTCCTTCATCTTTTAATATTTTATTCATTTGAATCCCATGTTTATTGTTGACAAATAGGTCAAGGGGGTGAACATATCCAAAACACCTTCTTCCACATTATTTTCACCACAAAAACAACCAAGTAGGTTGGGTTGAGAGGAAAAAACTAGCCCAAAACTCACCCAGCTGGCTTTTGTGCCCAAAACAGGACTAGAACTCACCGTCTCCTAGTGATTGGCCCAAACTCACCCAGCTGTCTGTCATTCCAAAGGCGGGACTAGAACTCAGTCTCTCCGGATGATTGGCCCGAAGTCACTTGATAATGGTCGCTGTGTCCCGGGGTCACATGATCCCCTTTTGCAGTAAACAAAATCACTGGGGGAAGCCAGATTTGCTTAACGACCATGTTCCTAACTGAACAACTGCAGGGATTCACTTAACGAAGTCAATGGGGGAAGCCAGATTCACTTAACAACCGACTTGTTGAATGCACTGACTCACTTAACAACTGTGGCCAGGAGTATCATAACGTGGGTCAAAGCTCATTTAACAAATGCCCTTCTTTAGTGAAATAAATATTGGGTTCAACTGTGGTCGTAAGTCGAGGACTCCCTGATACAACCAGCAAAAGGCAGTCCTCGCTTTTATTTCATTTTTATTACCGGGGATTTAATCCAGAGGTGGTATATTCAGCCGATTCGGACCGGTTCTAGAGAACCGGTAGCGGAAATTTGGAATAGTTCAGAGAACCGGCCAATCCCACCTCTGACTGGATCCGCCAACCCCCATCTCTTCTCTGCCTCCCATTGAGTCCCAGCTGATTGGCTGGGTCTTCTTTGGTTGCCCTGCACAGGAGAACGGAGCTGGAAAGCAGGTTAGTGGGGTGGGGAGGGAAGGGGGATCTTGCAGTATATCCTTCCCCTGCCACGTCCACCAAGCCACACCCACAGAACCGGTAGTAAAAAAATTTGAATCCAGCCACTTGAAAGATGATAGGTAGGTAGGTAGGTGGATAGGCTAGGATAGGATAGAGGGATGGATGGATGGATGGATGAATGGATGATAGGGGACGGAATGGGGATTTTGCAGTATCCTTCCCCTGTCATGCCCACCAAGCCACGCCCACAGAACAGGTAGTACAAAAATTTGAATCCCACCACTTGATAGATGATAGGTAGGTAGGTAAGTAGGTAGGGAGGTAGATAGGATAGGATAGGATAGGATAGGATAGGATAGGATAGATGGATGGAGAGAAAGAGATGGAGAAAGATAGAAAGATAGGTAGATAGGTAGATAGGTAGGTAGATAGATAGATAGATAGAAGATAGGTAGGTAGGTAGATAGGATGGATAGAGGGAGGGGGGAGGGAGGGAAAGAGAGGGGGGGATGGATGGATGGATAATAGGGGAGGGGATGGGGATTTTGCAGTAACCTTCCCCTGCCACGCCCACCCAGCCACGCCCACCCAGCCACGCCCATAGAAACGGTGGTAAAAAAATTGGAATCCCGCCACGGAGGTCATCCCTGGCCGACCTGGAGCGTACCTATATCGTAGGCCATGAAGTCTGAAGAGAAGCACTTGGCCCCCTGGCTCATGGAGGTGTCGTTGTGGGTGTTCCCTCCGAAAACCAGCATGGCCCCGCTGATGATGACGGCCGAATGCAAATAGCGGGAGAACCGGCTCTCCTTCAGAATGGTCCTGGAGAAGGAAAGGGAAGAAGCGGGGACTCAGAGGAAGCCTCTGCCTCGCTCTTCTAGGCTCTCCCCTTAACTATTAGAAAATAAATAAGAAGGACACCAAAGAAGGTTTCTTGGCGAGAGGCAGCAAAGGATCAGAAAGGAGAAAAGACATGAAATTGAATCACCGACTCAGAATAAAGCGAGTTAAGATTCCCGAGGAATGATCTTATTTCCACCCCTTAAATCTTTCTCCGATGTTTTTTTCTCCCGGTTTGTGGGAGAAAATTGCCCGTAATTTCCATACACCTATCTGACAAACAATTGGGGGGGGGGGGGGTAGCATTGGTAGCTTCGTAAGGTAAAAGTGGGGGTCGATGGCCCTTTTAGGACCTGTGGACTTCAACTCCCACAATTCTTGAGCCGGCCACGGCTGGCTGAGGAATTGTGGGAGCTGAAGTCCGCAGGTCTTAAAATGGGCCATCGTTCCTTCATGCTGGCTCAGGAATTCTGGGAGTTGAAGTCCACAAGTCATAAATAGACCATCGTTCCCTCATGAATTATGGAAGTTGAAGTCCACAAGTCATAAATAGACCATCGTTCCCTCATGAATTATGGGAGTTGAAGTCCACAAGTCATAAATGGACCATTTTTTCCCCTTGTTGGCTCAGGAATTCTGGGAGTTGAAGTCCATAAGTCATAAATGGACCATCATTCCCCATGTTGGCTCAGGAATTCTGGGAGTTGAAGTCCACAAGTCA